CCAGATCGCACGGAAGCTATTGCACATTACAACATCAACAGCCTTGCTGATGCCGCATACGAAGTCGAGAGAACACCGTCGCCACAACCGGAAGAGCCAAAGCCCGAGGTCATTCCAAACGAGCATGCTGCTCTACTTATGATGCTTGCAGACGTTTCCTCTAACCAACCCCGGAGTAGCACTGTACCAAAACCACCTCTTCATTACCCGCACCCACAACAGCAGCCGCCTCCGCCATCAAGGACTAAGACGCCCGTGATCAAACAGGAGTACACGAAAGAGAAGACGCCTGAGATTGCTCCATCAGCAGGGCCACAGGGCATACCATCTCATGCTGCACGTAGTACCCCTGCCGAAAGCACACAGCCAGCGGCAGATCAAAGCCATGAGATTCGTCGCTCTGAACCATCCGAAAACACGCCCGCAAAGGAACCGGATGTGCCAGCAAAATCGACACCAAGATTATCTACGCACAGGATCATGGACATACTGAACGATGACCGCGAAGTACCTGTATCAAGAACACGAGAACAGCAGCAATCAGCTCAGGAAAAGACCACTTCTTCAAAGCACGAGCCATTGGCCCATCGCCGCACAACATCTCGAAGCGATGCCCTGCGAGTGGATGCTATGGTGAACAAAGAAGAACCGCCTATCGACCAAGCACTGATGGATGCGTTGAGCGGGCCAGCTCGACCACCGAGCAACCCACCTTCATCGCCGCCTTCGAATGCTCAGCCATGGCCACGAACAAGTGTTCCGCCAACCCGGGAGTCAGAAGAGTCGCTGCGTCGTCGGGATCCTCTGCAGAAGATCAGGGAACTTTTGGACAAGAAGGCCCGCGAGCGTGGTCGCGAGCCGCCGGATCATTCGAGCTATGTTCGACCTCCTGTATTTCCTAATCGGCCAAACCCTCAGCCTCCAAGTGGGCAAGACCGAGGCGAAGTAGCAGCTTACGATCCAACACGACCATCTACGGGACTATACGATTCGCTACCTGGTGGTTCGTACTCATATGCATCTCGGCGAGAGTCGCACGAGCAGGCAGCTCCGCACTGGGAGCATGATAGGCGGATGAGCGGGTCTCAACCAACTCAACATTCAGCAGCGTCTCCGTACCAAAGTCATGCTGCACATTCCCATTATGGTGAGCACAGTAGGTCAGGGCCAACTCCACCAACGCACCAGAGTCCCTATGCTCCACCTCCTAACTCGTTGCCACTGCCACCGAAGCCACCCGGACCCCCGCCGCCTGCTATCAACTACCGCTTTGCACACTATGATCCTGCCCCACCTCGACCATATCCACCACAATCACCAAGTTATCCGCCTTCTTCTTCTCACCCGCCACAAAGCGCCGCTCAACCGCAATATCCGAATCCATACGGCAACCCACCATCCTACCAAGGTGGCTACATTCCACCTCCAGGATCCTTCCAAGCACCACCACCTCCCCCGTCAAGCATGACCTCATACCAGCCCCTCAAGATTCATCAATACGGAGGCCAGCCCATTCTCCCTGCCAACATGGCACCACCTCCACCTCAACACAACGGACCACCACCGCCCACGCTACCATTTATCGGCCAAGGCGCGCCTCCGCCCCCACCAAGCCATGCCTCATCGCAATCACAGGGGTCACAACAAGCTTACTCCCCAACACATCCCCACCCACCTCCTCTCCAATACGAACAGCAGCCGCGGGAAACGCAATCACAAAACGGTACTACCTCGGAGCGTTCGTCTGATTCGCAATCCAGACCCAGACGGCCCTATCGAAGTTACCACGCCCCCGGCACGCAGTTTAGGAGTTATCAGGGTCCAGCTGAGCAGAGGAGGAGAGGAGGATAGAAAAGTCGGGGTGAAGCGTTGATAGTATGTGTACGTGTGTTGGGAAAGGAAAAAGGGGTATACAAAATTAATCCTCTTGTTTTATTGAATATCATGACGGTATGAAAGGCGGGGTGGAGAGTTGGTCGTATCTTGTTCTTGTTCTTTTTTTTTGTGTGTTTTTTTTTGTATTTGTTGTTCAGCATAACTTGAATCTTTTCATTTTCTTTGTTAACTGTCATTCTTTTCAACAGGGTGGGGATTTTCTTGGGAACTCTTTTTATAACTAGCCATTCGGGTCCCCGTGGATTGAGTAGAGGAGGACTTGGGTATTTATTAACTATTACTTACTACTTACTATTATTATTTTATTACTTTTGTTTGTATACTTTTGGTCTAGGTAAGTAGCGAGGGTGAGGGGGGGAGGACAAGATGTAGCATTAAGATAGCGGTGCATTGGAAATAGTATATACGTTTTTTTTGTCTTGTATATGTTGCTGTGTGTATTCTGGAGAGAAGTGAATGGTTGGGGCTTTACTTTTTTTTATATGGGATTTCTCCATGGGAAAGGGGAAAGATGAGGGGTTGTTTATTATCATTTAGAAACATACTCATTTTTTTTCAAACCGTGGGATACGACAAGAAAAGAAAGAGAAAAAAAAGATATATGCCACACGCGACTCTCTCGCATCTCCTTTGTCTATATTTTTTTTAAGCTGCAAAACTGGGGATTAAGAAAAGAGAAAGGGAGGGGAATCAAGTATATGGTTATAATTCCATGGTCTTTTTTTTGCCCCTACTCATATAACTAGTATTTTTGTGAGTCCAAGGTACATAACTATCTCATCAAGCACATACATACCATCAACACTTTCAAATTCTACAAGACTCTCTATTCATCTTTTTTTTTAAAAGAAAAAGGGAGGGGTATCAACACCATCAAAAATTCGCACGAGCACTTCGCACAAATCCACACCTTCTTCCCTTCCCACCTCCTCCGCTCTCCCCCAAATAAAACAAGACAAAATGAAGCTACACTCTACACCTTCCTCCTCTTTACCCTGGGCGTAGGCGTCCACTCCCTCCCCTCCCTCGCCCCAAATCCCGCCGCAGTACTACTATTATGCCTAGGCGTCGCTCCACCGACCCTCTCAAACAGTCTTTGAGCCGCAGGCGTAAGATCGGCTTTACCCTTTCTACCGGGTGTCTGACTCGCCATAGCCGCAGGCGTCGAAGAAGCAATGCCTTTAAATCTCGGGGTTTGAGAAGAAGAAGAAGAAGAAGAAGAAAATATGCCGAGACCTGATCCTATTGATGATGATGATGATTTATTTGCGAGGTTGGCGTTGGAGTTAGAAGAAGAGCGGTTTGCATTTATTTTATCCACCATTCTATGTAGCATTTTCTCGCGGGAGGAGGATTCGTTCATGGTGAAGGGTGTGGCTTTGTTGGCGCTGTTCAGACCGTAGCGTTCGAGGAGGTCGGTGGGTGCGTCTGCTTCATCGTCGTCGGATGGTGGGTGTGCGTCGACAAAGGCGTAGCCATTTACGCGGGGTGTTTCGCTGCCGGTATAGCCTCCTTCGCTGGGGTTGAGGCGCGGACGCCCGGCGATGGCGTCGCGGACGGCAGAGAGTGTGGGGCTAGAAGGTCTTTGAGGTTGTTCGGTGTCGGGGATAGGAAGGCGTGTGTTGTTGTATACGACTTGCTTTGGTGGTGCGAGGGACTTGCTTTCTGCGACTTGAACGCGTGTGGGCGCCCATTGTTCTACACTTTCGGGGCCAAACATTAGACTGTTGATGGCTGTATGTCTGTGTCCGGTTGGTGCCGCTGGTCGCTCGTCGAGGTCTTGGCTGGGTCGTGTGCTGAGGACCAGTTCTTTGCCTTCTGATTCTGCGGCTCTTGCTTCGATGACTTTCTGTTGGGCTATACGCTGTTTACTTGCATACATGTTGCCCTGTCGTAGCCACACGTTCTTCTCGAATCTGGCCTTGTTTTGCTTATCGACAATCTGGCTGAAGCTCTCCTGGTCTTCGCTCGTGTATTTGGCTTGGAAAGCCCCCAGACTCATATTCAAATCCACATGGTCCAACTTGCCCAGTTCTTGGTCTACTTCTTCTGTTTCACTCTCTGCCACGGTAACGGGTGTATCTGCACCCCATACACTCGGCGTCTTGTCCCCAGATCCACCCGCCTTCTCGAACCTTGTCCTTGCTGCCATCTTCCGCTGCCCGCTCGGTACAGGCGTCATGACTTGTGTGAGCTTTTTGCCCGCCTCCCGTATCCATGCCCGGTCCTTGCTCTCGACGGCGTTCAGGTACTCGCGCTGTGCGTCTGCTTCTGCCAACCCGGGGAAGAAGTCACGGCGGATGATGTGTGAGATTGCGGAGACATATGTATCTTCGTCAAGAACCACAGAGGGACGCTTGATACGCTTCGGCGCAGGAGGAGGCGGCATGAGGGCATCGGACGCGTTGCGCTTTGTGAGCGCTGTTGAGTTGGAGGCGGACATGGCGCGAATGTGACCAAACTGGAGGCTGTTGAACGCGGTTTGAAGGACTGTAGCTGAGGCTTTGCAAGGCCTAAGATACAAAGCGTCGAGGGTTGGTCGTGAAGGGGTCTGGAGATTTCGACATGGGTACTGTGTTTGTGTAGGTGCGTGAGTCTGGCCGGTCGCAAAGTGACGTTCTTGGTCCATTATATCTTGGCGTCGGCAGATGGCTCTACCGCCTTCAGCCCTATCGCCATTCAGATCGCAGGTGAAAGTAAGTACATCTATCTAGCTAATCACAGGCCATACAAATCAATTGAAAAAATACTTCGAGGTCTTTCTATACACGGCATGTATCGATTCTGATTCCAAAGGAACTTTGCTTTTAAAACGCCCTATCTCCTGTCTGGACCCTATACAGTATCTACTGTACAAAGGTCATCGTCCAGACACTGTCCCATCCTAGCATGGCAACCGTAGCTCAAACATCTCTCGACGCCAGTATTGGCGTTGTTGCCTTTTTTGCAAATGCAATAATGCCCTCTTTCCTCGGCGATTTTTTGTATACCTCAGGCGCTTTTGTTAAGTACCTTAGTGCTCGAGACGTTGCTAGGCGAACATCAATGGACTACTGAAATTATGCATAGTGAAAATACACTTGTTCGTATCCCAAAGCGCTCCTTTAGTAGAAAGACTCGACCATGGCGTCCTTGTGCGTGGTGTTGATGTTGGCAGGGCCATTGCCCTCGCCGAGCCTGAAAACTGATTCGACGACCGAAAGTTCAGTAGCGGTGGTGTCGAGACCTACGCATCGTGTTAGCCTATTTCATCCACTCCTTTTGTAGTATCTTTACTTACCAGTAACGGCCATCCAGTCGTTGACGACCATTCCAGCGCCGACAACAGCGCTACCGCGGTTCACACTGCCTGCAACAAGCGGAACCTGGAGCAAACTTGACAGCTCATCCTGGTCCTGGATACTGGTCTTGGGGTGGACAATGCCACCCTGATTGCTTAGTGCCATGTAGCTTCCGGTGAGCACGTTGTCAGCAATGGTTTGCCTGAAAACCTCAACGCCCAGCACATCTGCTATTATCTCTTCCGTCTCGCGCTCAATGTCCGGGTGGACGAGGGCGACGTGGTCGTTGCAGCATATGACGTTACCGAGAGCGGATAAGCGCTCTTCTATCCTCTGAATTTTGACTTCATCGGGTATGGAATTTCGCAGGTGCTGGAGTTCTTGGTCGGTGGTGGTGGTGGGGACAAGGAGGCCTTTCTTGTTGCTATACAAATGTTAGTCGCAGAGCTCCCCATATTCTGCAAAATGCCTCAAAAAGCTAATCCACGTACCCAGCTGTCAATCTGCCGACTATTCTGGTTCCGGCGATGGTGGCATGGCAAATGGGAATGACATCCTGAAGTTCGGCTTCGAAGACACTGTTTTGCCACCGTCAGTATCGCTGCTTTTTTTTTGGAGGAAATTTTTTGTCGCAATAAGTGCGCACCTGTAAAAGTTCTCGCTCGCGCCGACTGCGACAATCGCATATGCGTTTGTGAGAGTAGAAAAGACACCAACTTCGTTGGAGTTTTCAAATTGCGCGCGGACAGCCATGATTGCTAGTTTCTCGGTGTAGGGTGTTCGCAAGGGTTGTAGAGGTGAAGGTTTGTGGTTGGAGAGTAGGGCAAGGGGTAGAAGCGCGCAGCTATCGAGCTGATTGTGTTGTTCTGCAGAAACTGTGAAGAGGCGTAACTATTTTGTAAAGAGCGACATCATTTAGCCCCGCTACTTGATTAGGACTAGTGCGGCGGGCGCTATTTCGACTCATCCTGAGTGAACCTTGCGAGGGTCTGGCTGCCCTGTCTCGGCGCATCCAAATGTCCATCTTGGGCAAAGTATGGCTGTGACTTGTAAAGAGTCATCGACTGAGCCACCGCCACGGTTCCAAGGCGAAGAAACAGCCTCATCACGGGGCATGATGTAACCATTTGGCAGACTCTCAAAAATCCACGCTCAGGCCCTCGGCACATGGCAAAAGCGAGTCAAGGTCCCGACAAGGCGTACGCCAGTGCAACGGGTGTCGTTTTCTGAACAGCGCGGACATTCTAGAGCCTTCCCTGGGCGACTGTCACCTTCATTTCCATGAAGGCCTTCCCGCGACGCTACTCTCCTCGCCAATGCTGCCTCCTGGCTTGAACCTGGTATCCCTCGCCTTGACATGATTCACGCATGTAAACAATCACTAGCTGCCGCACCTTGATGTCACTCATCGCGATTGACATGTCGTCGATCAATTCGACACGAACTGACGTGCGCTTCTTCAAGCTCGCACCATTGCATTAATATTTGATTAGGGGACCAATGCACGGATAAGGCCCTACAACAGATTTACAGCCACCAGAGATGACATCCCCGTCTCACATCAATTAACCCTTCCAAAAAAGGTTACACAGGTGGCAGGTAGAAAGCAATGGATACGATGACAGGTAGAGAATACATGGGTAATGATATTTTGCCATGGCAGCAGTGCCAGACAGATGATAATACAAATGGGTAATACGCTCACGGAGAGCACAAACAAGCCGAAAACAGGAGCAACGCCCGCTAAACCGCTAGAATGCCGCGTAAGGATACGCTTCCCAAATTGAAGGTAGAGCAAATACAACAAAATGAAAACAAGACCAGACACTGTCCAGATACCAGACAGCCAGCCCAAGGTGACACCAAAGGAAATGTCGAGCAGAGCGTTTTGTGTCGAGTGACGCGACCAAGAAAAAACATTAACGTGTGTGATGGCATGATATGTTCGTAAAGCGGTTCGTTATGTAGAAGGATATCCCGTGCAACGGCACATGTACATGACCAAGAAGGCCGCTGGTAGCGGCCCATAGATCAAGAGCTTTTGTTGCCGACAGATTGTTGGCGAAAATACACTGTGGAAATGCTCAAGTGGGAGTCACTCAAGTCATGCGTGATGCGAGAATGGCCAACGCAATGATGACACCAATCAGGAGCGTGCCGACTCCAGACATGACGCGATTCAGGTTGCGCCACCAGGTCGCTTTTTGGAAGGCTTTGTCGTCCACCGGGCCCACGGACTGGGCAAACTGCTGCTCCAAATCGGCCTGGCTGGAGGTAGAAGCACCAGCCATGTGGTTTGGGTTGAGAGGCAGGGGGAGGAACGAGGCAACAATCCATGCTGTTTTTTTTAATTAGTATGTGTTCACTGACATTATTAGGGTTGAACCGAATGGGAGACTTACACAGAGGGCAGATAAATCCCAAACAGAAGAGCAGGATTTGTCGGTTCTGGCGGCCAAGAAGCGTAACATGAACATCGGCGTCGAGAGATGGTGCGTTCCACGCACTGTATCGTGTATCTCCTCGGCGATCGGTGCGGAGATGTGGTGTCGAGTATTGCCTGATCTGGTACATACGAGCACCAGCTCCGTGGGCTGCACCATCAATGGATTGAGCGTCGTCGGCAAGGGAGACGGTGTCGGCGAACGATGCAGCTCGGTGCCGTGGACGGTTTCGTGGGCGGTAAATGTTGGGCGGGTAATTGCTCTCAGAGGGTGTATGTGACCGTCCACTCTGTGACATTTCCTGCACTACACTTTCCGCATACTCTGACTCCGGGGCACCTCCCGAGATTCGCTCGCCCTTCTGGTAGTAGGCTCTTGCCCATGCAGGAATGTTGTTGGCGAGGAAAATGGACACGCTGGACTGAGCGGAAACTGGTCGAGACGTCTCGTCCATGGACATGCTTTCGACGCTGTTGGCCTTGCGCAGATAGCCCGAGTTCTTCACGCGCAACGGAACCGATGAAGGCAATGGCGAGATTGTGTCTAGGTGTTCGCTGTTGTTGTCATCGAGCGAGCTCTTCGAGGCCGGCGAGAAGAGTGGTTGGGGCACTGCCGAGTACTCAGAGTGTGCTTCGGAAGATGCATTGTCCAGAGACGACTGCGCGCTCGAGACCGTCTGTCCTCTCCGTCGTGGAATGTTTGTCCGGCCACTAGCACTATAGCTTTCCTGTGAATGCGACCTGGCCCCAAATGACCGCGAGCCTCGAGCGATTGAGCGCGAGTCGCGCTCAGATGCCGAGGGGATAGTCGATAGTTGGGAACTCCATTGGTGTAGCGACGAGCGGTCCTGCATCCGGGACACGAGGCTGGCTTGGTTCTGGGACTCAGCCCGCAATGTGCTGGACGAGGGCACGCGTACAATGGGGTAGTTGATTCGAACACCGCTCGCAAAAGAGACCGTGCTGGCTTCATGAGAAATTGGTGATGTAGTTGGCTCGATGCTAGTGGACGAAATATCAGAAAACGTTATCGAATCTGTGCTTTGTTGAGGCTTCAATACATGTTGTCGATTGTCAGTGTCACTAGTGAGTGCAGAACGCCCTGCTTGAAAGTCGGAAGACGGGGTTGATTCGTCGCCTTGTGGTAGCGGGGGCCCGATACTGAGACGCGACGTGTTTCCACCATGGCCAGAAGAAGATGGGTGGGCGGCGAGGATGGTTGAGGCAAAGGATGCAGCAGAGGCCTTTGGGGTCAATGCACGGTTGCGACTCTCGAACGAATCACCACCAGACGAGGAGGGAGGGACAGCGCGGATGGTTGGCCTCTGGCTGCGCGGCTCCTCTTGAAGTACGTCGAGGGTGTCGCCATCGTCAAACTCTGGTGGGGGTGACGACGGGGCAGTGCTGTCCTGCGAGAATCTTACAGATGAAGGGGTAAAGGCAGAGGATACAAAAGTATCTTCCTCTGACGTGCTAGTTGCGGCTGAGTGCCTGACACCCTTTTTCCGTGACACAATTGGCTGTGGTGTCTGCACCCGGCTGGCCTCGAACTTTGCAACGACACTGGCTACCTGGCTGTTAGATGAAACGCGAGACCCTGGCCTCTCGGGTCTCTCGAACCCATAACCCGGCGCATGACGGGGTGGAGATAGAATCTGCGAGGGTTCGCTGGGCACTGGGTACTTTTGATAGATGTCATCGGGAGTGTCGTGCACTAGGCGGATTGTGGGACTTGAGTGCTGATTGGCCTGCGAGTTTGAGCGTTCGTGAAGCGGTCTTCGGACTGGGGAGGAATCCTTTGATGGCGATTTCGGGGGCGAGAACCGGGGGCCTTGTGGAAGAGTTAATGCGGTTGGCGTTTTGGCGCGTTGGTTTGATGAGGACATGCTGCTGCGCAGGCAGCTGTCGCGGTGGTGGTGGTGTAGTTGTTGTTGTTGAAGTTCTTCTTGATGTTGTTTTTGTTGTTGGGGGTGCTGGTGTTGGTGCAGGCGCAGGAGCTGACTGGGTGGGTCGGATGTCCAAGGCTGTGGGATGCAGGCTTGCGAAAAAGTCGAAACGGGGCATTAAGGATAAAAAGGCGCAGGGTGTAAAAGATTGTATGTGAAGGGGTGCAAAAGAGCGACTGAAAAGCTAGAACATGTCAAAAACGACGAAAAGAGTGGCGGCCCGTAGGCGATTAAAGATAGTGGGTGGTTGGAGGAGAGGGAGGGAGAGGGAGAGGGAGAGGAGAGGAAAGCGAGCGACGGTGGGCGGAGAAGAGGAAGCGGAACAGAAGCAAGGGAAGGACGGACGTTGACAGGTTGGCAGCAGCTCGGCCTAAAGAGGGTTCGTGGCTGGATATGCAGATGCAGGTTCGCGGGCTGCAGTGCAAGTGGGATCCTCCAGTTGGCAGCAGCTCCGCCCAGTAGCCGGTGCAGGCGGTCAGGCTCAGGCACAAGTACTTGACGCGTGCACAAGCAGCAGCAGCAGCACCAGCAAAGCAGCACACGGCCCAGCACCAGCCCGTCGACGGTTTAGCCGTGAGCGACAACAGGCACGAGGCTGTGGTTGAGCGTGCAAGCACTGTATGCACTGGCGACGATGCGACGTGAGGCTAGACGCGCAGTCTGCTGGCCGCCCCGATGCTCTCCAGGAACCCTCGTCCGGCCAGGCTCTCGACGTATTGGCGGGCAAAGGCACAACGCGACAACGCGAGTCGGCGGGCGAAATGATTGTAATTACAGCCGACGCAGCCAGTGACGACGGACGGGAGGGCGCTGCAGGGGGAGGGACGCGCCGGGGGTTTCAAGCGGATGGATCCAAGCCAGAGTGGGAGAGAGGCTGCCAGTGGTGCCAGTGGTGCCAGTCCAATTCGAGTCGGACCGGCCGGTGTACAAGTGGAGTCGAGTCGAGTCGGGCGAGGATTAGCTGATTATCGATAAACGAACAATGGCGGCGAGAACAACGAACCGGTTCAACCGCTCTCGCGATATTGCGACAACGCGGGGGGCAGATTGCCAGGCCATATAAGTACAACTCTCCCACAACACCAACCCGTTCGCAGGGGGGCGATAGCGTGTTTGACTGTTGGCGCTGTGCTGCTGTTCAGCGCCTTCTTTTTCGTCGCACTCGTCCCCAGTCTGCCATGCCACCACCACCCACACGCTGGCGCGAGGGTTTCAGCGCCCTCCACGCCGTCTATCAACGACACGTCAAGGGCGGTAAGTAGCGATCCATTGGCCTGTGAGCCTCCCCTTTGTCTTTGCCGTGCGCTTTTCTTGACGCCTGCCCCGGCCCCAGTTCCGCCTGTCCTTCGTCTCCAGCTCTGCAAACGTGTCGAAACATGGCCCTCGCCTCTAACCTGTCGTCAGTATCCCAGCCGCCCGTCCTCTCCGCCAATGCTGCAGCGCTTCTGTCGGTATGTTTCATCCTCGCGCACCCACCACCACTGCCGCCTGCACTCGCTGCACACTGCTCCCGCACTAAAAATATACCACCCACTGACGCGTGTGTTTCCCAGGCTGCCTATGTCTTCATCTACGTAATCCCCTTTTACCTCTCCTCCGCCACCAGACCTTCCGTCTCCCTCTCGCGCGATGCTCCCTCGTCCATCCGCGCCAGAGTCCGCGCCGTGACCTTTTCCACCCTTCTGTGCACCCTCATCACAGTAGTCCTGCTCCACCGCCATGATGTCGCCATCCCGCAGATCCTCGCTCTCCTTGGTTTGTGGCCTGTGTCGCCCATGGACACCATCCGCACCATGCTCCTAGTCGTCATTCTCTTTGCAGGTCCTCTGTTCGAGAATGGCATAGTCGACGGTGATTGGCGAGACTGGATACAGCTGAATGGCCTGCACCAGTCATTGAGCAGTTGGATCGGGTACAGGAACTTTGTAGTTGTACGTCCCCACAGCGTACCGTAGATCTCCCTTCAGCCCGCCTAACTTCACCAGGGACCCGTCAGCGAAGAGCTAGTTTGGCGTTCCCTTATCGTGCCCCTCCACGTCCTAGCCCGCTTCTCCGGCAAGCAGATCGTCTTCCTGACCCCACTCTACTTTGGCATTGCCCACGTCCACCACCTGTACGAGTTCCGCATCACCCACGCTCAGGTCCCCCTCGCCTTGGCAATTGCCCGTTCCCTCTTCCAGTTTACATACACCTCGCTCTTCGGCTTCTTTGCCGCCTTTGTCTTCGTGCGCACCGGCAATGTCTACTCGTGTGTCTTGGCCCACGCCTTTTGCAATTGGATGGGACTGCCGCGCTTCTGGGGTCGCGTTGGTGTCGAGGCTGGTGTGCCCATTGGTCCCTCAGACGTCGCCAAAAAGGACGACGGTGATCCAAGGGCCGCACCTGCGTATCAGGGAAAGGGCATTGCATGGACTGTAGCATACTACCTCATCCTGGTAGCTGGAGCTGTGGGCTTCTACTACCAGTTATTCCCGCTGACCGAGAGCAACCATGCTCTGCCTGTGACACTGACCAGGACGTAATGGTTTCATATTGCTTCTCCCGAGAACCGTCACCTGCGTCGCGCAATGGCCCACCAGTTGTCCTTTTCGTATCCCGACTCGAGCACAACTCCGCCCGCCTGCTCAATATCGCTCTCAAGCTCGCCTTTGCGATATAAATGATAATACCTCAAAAATGTCTTGTCTCCTTCGGCCGTCTTCCCCTTCTCTTCGCTCCCGTTCTCTTGCATCACATTGTCCTTGTTCTTTTTCCGCTTTGCGTCCTTCTCCTTCTTCTGCTTCAGCACCCATGGTACCATGACATCCTGCTCGTGGCCTTCGTCCCAACCGCGCCGGCTGTCTTTCTGCTCAAGTGCCCATACGTAGATGAGTGCCTTTCCTCCGGTTGTGCTCATGTCAGCAGTTCCATTTCCATGGCTAGATTCCTCGTGACCTGATGTCGACGGCGGTTGCAGGAGATCCAAAACACTCTTGACAGCCTCTATTCTCCGCTCTGGCGTAGACAAGTGATGCACAACGGCAATGGATATGGCAAAGTCGAAAATGCCCTCTGGATGCGGGAGAGCAAGGTTATCCGCCACGACTACATCGTGTGGTTCATGCCGTCTGGCAATCTTGACCAAATTCGTAGATCTAGAGTACTTGATGTGAGGTTCGGAACAGAGTAGAACAGTGCGGAACAAACGAAAGCCAGACCGTGTCCCTTTTTCAACAAATTCAACTCAGAATATGAAAAAGCAACACTCCCCAAACAAATACCCAAACAAATACCCAAACAAATGACGTACATAGCAACTGGAAGTGCTGTTCTTTTTTTTCGGACAGAATAGGAAAGACGGTGAAAAAAAAGAAGAGAAGAAAACTTACCGATCGCTCCCCACAATCCACACTTTATCATTCACACCCAGATACTTGCCATTACCACACCCTACATCCGCCCCAATCGCCCCATCGCGCTGTTCGCGTAGGAACCGATCTACAATCGGCCAGGGCTGCATTTAACTGTATTAGCAAAGAAGCCTTGGCAATATATTCATGAAATTCATCAACCAATAAATTTACAGATGGTAGTAATAATTGTTGTTTTTTTATTGGATGAGAGAGAGAGAGAAAGGGAGGCTGTGTTGAACAGATACCATTATCGAATTTTTTTTGCTTTTTCTTACTGTAACGGGCGGGATGACACGAGATAGGCAAATGGAAGGGGGGGAAAGGAGAAGGAGGGTTAAAAAAACACAGACCTTATACCGTGTCGAAGAAAAGTGTTCGGCGATTTCTTCGTAAACAGCATGGACATGGGTTGCTTCGTAGGATTGGGGGGGTTCGTCTGTGTATGTCATTTGTGCGATGTGTTGGGGAGAGATAAAGGTTACGTAGTAAACGTAGGGGAGGAAAGAAGGAATAAAGGGAAAGGGGGGGGGGGGAAAGAAGGGTTGTAGTGAAAGTGTGTAAGTACGTTGTAAAGGTAAAGTGACTGCTGTGTGTGTTGCAAAGAAAAAAAAGGAGCCAATGAGGGGTTGAATCCTGATGCCAAGACACTATTACAAGATGGACTTTACCCTTATCTTGTTTCTTATGAAGTATACTAGAATAACCATTTCCTCTTTTGAAATTCAAAATGTAGATTTGATATGCAGAACTACAATCTCCTCCTCATGAAGCGGGATGAATCTACTCATCAAAACACTGACAATCCCCCACATCGCCTCCAACCCTCCACCTACTAACCATACTCGCACACCTCCACGCCACATCGGCCCGTGAGCACTGAAAAATCAAACTCCACATCCGCTCAACCGTATACCCAAAGTCCGGGGCGCTCATCTCATCCGGCCTTCCTCTAAGAAAACTTTCTTGATGCGCCCAGCTCTTCTCATCTACCAGCGCAGTCCACATATTCTCATATAAACTCTTATCCACACCACGAATGCGCGCTGCGGAGACAGCGAATTGGCCTTTGTAACTAAGTAGCACATGGTCACACTGAGTATTGGCGCCGTAAATCTTCGCGTACGTCTGCGGGACAAATTGGGTTTCGTCGGACCAGAAGAGGCGGTCGGAGCACGAGTGGCAGTTGCAGAGTGTGCCGACCCACGCGAGATCCAGGAAGCCGGTGCGGGAGCGAAGAAAGTAGTTTGTGATTCTTGTGTAGAATTCGCGGGGATTGTGGATTTCGGCTTGCAGGAAGAGAGTTTGCTGCGCCAGTGTGTCCCACCGGCGCAGGATGTGGTTGAGATAGGTTTCGCCTTCGCGGCCGATGTTGGGTAAGGGGAAGACTTGGTTTACGCCGAGCTGGGATTGGATATGGGAGGGTGATGCGCTGCTGTCTTTGATGTAGACTGTGATTTGAGCGTCGGAGAGGGCGGGGATGCGTTTGAGGTTGCGGAGGAGAGTGGCGATGCCGTCGAGGGGTTCTTTGTACATGCTTATTACAATTTCCATGGGGATTTGGGGGACGTAGTTGCGATCGAGGGCGACGGGCATGCGTGGCTCTGGTCGTTCTGTGAAGTTCAGAACGCCATATGCTATCCATAGAGAGGCGATGCTGATGCCGAGAAGATACTTCGAAAGAGACTTGGTGGGTAAGCTTAAACTCACTGAAGACGATCTTATACGTCCATATGAGTTGTAGGCGAACCGGGTATTGGGCAGTCGAGCAGGGGGCACACGAGACCACGCCCAGCTGCCAATGCACGTTGTGGCAAGCCAAAAGCAGCAGAACTGGTATATGTTCGTGTACGAGCGGCGGGTCAGGAGCGTCGAGTAGCATCCTGCAATGCCAGCGAAAACAGCAACAGTCAAAGCGTCAAAGATGTGATATACTGGGGCATCAATAGTATGAAGAGACGTACTGGCTACTTCGTCGTCGACAGGCAGCACCATTGACTTTCCCAGCTTCATTGCCATGGCAGTAGACACGGCGTTGACGCTGAGGAGCAGCCCGTTTCCGGCTCCAATGGCGAAAATGTGGCCGTTCAGGCCAAAGATTATTGCCGACAGTGCGCCTACCAGCGCCCCTGCGATGACATGCAAGCTCGCCTGATTCACATTGTTGGAAAGGACATCTGGCTGATGCATAATGGCAGTCTTCCAGAGGCCCCTTGCCACTCCCGCAAACACCATGGCCAAGATGCCCATGACCAGGCCGGGCACAGTGATTCGATATTCTGTCAACAAAAGACCAACGCTCGCTAGCAAGAGTACACACGTGGGAAGCATGTCTGCGTACGTGACAGAAACCGAGCGGAGAGCACGACGCACCACGTCTTCAGCAAATATGGCTATGGGCTATTTTGGCGTCAGTCTTTTTTTGCTGGGGGACCGATTCGTCCAGATGTATGTGTGTGAAGTCTTACTGTAATCATGACCAAGACGGGGAGATTATAAAAATGCAATATTGCCTGCAACAGACACATGGTAGACAGGTACATGAAGCACATGGAGCCAGTGATGAGCGTCGTTCCTCTGTTCCTCGATTTCCACGGCCGCAGCTTTCGACGAAATGGACGCTGGATGATTCCCCAGCCAAAAAACGGTCGCAGGGCCAGTAAGCTCGTGAAAGCTAGCTGGTTAAAGTAGAGGCGCTGCGGATAATGCATGTTGCGCTCTACGAGCAAGTGTCGTGTGCTGAGTAGCGATGCACTGACGCAGAACATCCATATCAGATAGCGCTGGATACGAGCATTGTCATGTGTGGGATTGAGCCGCCCACTCATCGACTCGGCGCGAACCTTCCTTACGTACGCATCTGGTATCATGGCCATCTGAAGAAGAGGCACAGGCGCCGGCGAACGGGGAGGGAGTGGTGGCTACGACGAAGCAACGATTGCGACTGCCGTGTGGAAGTCATCCGAAATTAGGGATTGAGCGTCGTCTTTGCTTGTTCAGCGCATCGGCCCGGCGCGTAGTCGAGGTAGCCGGATTGGCGTGGATACGCGTGATGCGATGGCAATGTGGAGGCGACGACAGCGTGGATTGGGCGTGAGGGTACATTTGTCTTCATCTTGTCTCCAACGCTGGACGCGCGCGTTTTCTGCATGGCTCACCTCAATCTGGCAAACTGGGCTGCCCCACTTGCACTTATGCTTTGAGCCGTGCGCACCCCGCCAACGTCAGACACAACTTTACGGACTTGGCCATGCTACACCCATGCACAAGCCTCTTGGGCAGAATGATCGTGGAGAATTAAGACTTGTAGTGAGAGACAGAGAATTATTCCCTTTCGCGTTTAAGAAAATCATTATCGCTATGCAAAAACAACATGCCTCAATGCCTCCTCCCCATTAAACACCTTGTACCTTGCGGTAACTAGGCGGCTTCAACGTCCTCCTTAGCAGCTTCACCGCATACGGCGGCAACAAACTGATTGCTGCAATGACCGCAAACCTCCACCAAAACGCCATGCTTCCCACATACGCGAGATCAAAATACTCGTCCAGAAACGGTACAGAGCCAAAGTAGATACCTGCTGTTCCCACAATGCTCGCAATCATGATCCAATGCCACGTTGTGACTTCCATAGCCACCATGATCAATTCGTTGACAATAAGCACCGAGAAGGAGACAGACACCATCTTGAGAAATGTCGGATCTGCAGTCTCACCTGCGTCTGTCGCATGTCCTACACCAATAAGAAGCTGACTGCAACCCTGAATAATGGAGCCTTGGTAGATAGACACAGCGACCCAGATGAAGAACGACTTGTACGACAGCGACCGCCCTGTCTTGAGTTCGGCATACAGCTCGGGATACAAGTTGGCGACGCTCTCGTCCACGTCGCGGTCTAGAACAAGAGAAAAGACCGGCATCATTGTGTAGATAGTCGAATAGCCGACCAAAAGCCAGTCCTTGTACAAAGCATTGGGCTCAAAGCTGCTGGCAATCGAAAAGACTGTTTGGCAGATGGAAATGATCAACCCACGATGAATGACAAACTGAGAGAGCTTGGCAGAGCGTTTGTACGAGTTGCGGCCATGCCAGACGAGCAGTTTGACCAGGTAACAGAATTGCTCAATCGAAAAGTCGGCGGCAAGGGAGGCCTGGCGGCCTTCTTTGCCCACGATACCAACACCAACGTCGGCAGCTTGGATCATGGATACGTCGTTGCCGCCGTCGCCGATGCAGCATACGCGCTTCTTAGTGAACTCGCGAATCAGGCGCGCGACGTCTGCTTTCTGCGTGGGAGAGCATCGACATGCGACAACAGTGGGAAGTTGTACAGCCACGCTTATGAATTCCTGTCGAAAGTGCTGCAGAAAGAGAGCAAGCGACTCGCCATCAATAAGCAGACAGGAATCGAGCTTTCCACGAAGAAAGTCGAGGGACGAGGATGCAAGGTCTTTGCGTTTCAGCTTAGCAATTGTGTGCACGTATTGTCCACGTGCTACCAGTTTGGAGCTGACGGCTACGCAACGCGCCGTTTCGACCTTGTCGCCAGTCAACATCCAGATCTTGATACCCGCATTGCGAAGAAGCTCGAGAGAAGGCTTGACATCCTTTTGTAGTTTGTCCTCAACACCTGTGACGCCAAGAAGTTCTAGGTCATGCTCGAGATATTCTTTGACAACACCAGCAACCGAAGCATCACGGTTGCTGAGGGCAAGGGAGGCCTGCGCGTAATTGGTGGTGAAGTCCTGGTATGTCTGAGACGACAGCTTTTTGCGGCCTACAACTAGAGTGCGGAGTCCTTCGCGGGCCATGTTTGCCGTCTCTTCATCTAACCAGTCGTTGGCGGCGACGATCGACGTCATGACGGTATCTGCACCTTTTTGGTAAAACCAGATCTCACCATCCTCATCAGTCGGTGAGGATGCAGGTCCGTGGTAGAACTTCACAACGATGCCCATCCGTTTGCCCTCCGACGTGAACGGAAAAACATTCAAGATACGGACCTTGACGACTTGTCTTCCACTATCACATGAAAGGAGAGTCATGGACTCGCGGTCTCGAGACAGGAGCTTTAAACCAACGGCCTCGGTCCAACGTACAATGGCAATCTCGTCCGGAGATGATGCTTGGTAGGTAGTAACTTCTTCACCATTCTCTTCCTCAGTCGTTGGCGTTACGTTGTGGCAGAGTGCCAGCGCCAGCACAACGTCGCGAACTCGTGATCCAATTTCCCTACGGGTACGTGTGGCAGAAGTAAGAGGGGCGATGTAAGCGGATAAGGGTGTGACGAGCGAGGGAGCTTCTCCTGCAGGAGGTGTGAAACACTGGCGAACATACGACGATACCTCGTCCATGGCCTCATTTGCATAAGAGACGGTGCCGACGTGGATCTTTTTCATTATCATTTCTGTAGTCCGTTAGCCATTTCAAGTTACAGGAACTAGGGTACTATACCGTTTTGTGTCAGAGTTCCCGTTTTGTCGCTCAAAAGATATTCTATCCGCCCCAAATCTTCAGGAATAGTACTAGTGCGGACAATCGTTCCTTTGATGCTTTCGTCGTGCTGGATAAACCATGCATACACTGACTTTCCCATGTCAAGATTGACACGCAAACCCACAGGGACGATGGTCGAGAACAGAATGAGAAATCGCAGCATGGAAGCCCACCATTGCCGACCTTGGATTTCTTGAAACCGTGCGAGCGCCACAAGGATGAAGGATAGCGAGAGAGTAAAGATACACAGCCATTTTGTGAGCGAGTTGATCTCCAGTTCCAAAAGACCGGTTTTGGATCTTGAAGGCGAAGTTGAAAGCGCCTGACGTGTCTGGGGTCCAGTATATACCACTACTGCGAGAAGACTGCAGCTCGACGCCACGACCGTATTCGCCCAGATGGTGTTGTCAATGCTAAGAGGAGCTGACCGTGCCTCTTCAGATGAGGAAGGTTGCTCACTGTCGTGGGGATCGTAGTGCCGTTGGCTCTTAGGCAGAAGCTCCACAGTTCCGTAGAACTCATTAACCTTTTTGTCTGGTTTACCAGCGACAACTCGAAGTCGCGTATACTCTCCGACATCCAGATTCTGTGTCAACGGGGACGTAAGGCGCAGCTTCCAATCAGTTTCACCGTCCAATTGGTCAGTTCTGATAAAGGCTTCACCTGAAGACCCGCTCGTTGCGACGCTGTCAGCCTTTGCCGTATCCACGGGCTCCTCACTATCGATCAACGGGACCAGTGGGCTTTGTGCATTTGCACCAGCTGGGGTAGCAGCACTGATATCAGTGGAATGGCTCTTCAGAAGCACCATATCAGCTGGCACTCTTTGGTCCTTTCCAAGTTTGACCACATCGCCGACTTTGAGGCTCCTGGAAGGTTTTGTAACTTCCCAGTAAGTGCAGGTTGCCAATCCCTTGCCAGAGAGCCGCTGTTCCTCATCTTCAATTTCTGAGAAGCGGCCTTCATTTCTGTTCTGTTTTCTCAGACGCTTTTGCCTTTGCGAGCTTCTGCCTGGGGCAACGCCAGTTCCTTTGCTGTTCTCCTCAAACTTCAGTACGGTGTAGCCCTCAGAGTTAGCTTCTGCATCTCTTCGCCGTCGGGCGATATCATCCATAGCCTCCTTCCCGAGAGTTATGGTTATGACAAAGGCTAGTGGGGCGACGTAGGTCGAAAGGTAACCAATTCGTAATACTGGTATGACTTGCGACAGCGCAATAAGCAAGAAATACATGTTGATGAAGAAGGAGAATTCGTTGTACAAAGTACGTGGAAGAAAACTCCAGGGCGTGTACTTTGCATTCGAAACCGCATTTGCCGGGAATCTTGATGTCTGAAGCTGGCCGACAGAAATGGTCCGTTGCGTGGTTGGATCATGGTCCTCTTCGGCATCTTCCTCCCTATCCTTGTCGAGTTTTATAGCAGCGCTGCTATGCCGCGACAGGAAACTCGGTATTTGTATGCTTGACCCTAATCTTGACATGGTACTTTGTGGCGGTTGGTGTCTTTGGGCATTTCGCTGGGCCGGTAGCAAGGGCGAGTCGTCCTCCCCAGACTGACCATAACTGCCAGCCGAGTCCCTCTTTGGCCCTTCATCGTCGTCCAATAGGCCCCTCAAGTCGTCCTCTTCAGCCTCCTGCTTCTTCTTACTTGCTCGTAGTCTGCCTACTCTCAGGTTTCTCAGTGGTATCCTTGCGCCAAGTTCGTGGTATGGCCTCCTCTTGTCTTTTGAATTACGTGGCGGCGGGGTGGCGGCTGCTTGTGAGCGAGATGCTAGAGGGTCCAACTCCTCCAAGTCTAGTTCAAGGTCAGAGTCCTCGTCTGGCGCATTCGGTTGGTGGTACTGGTGTGGAGCAGCCATGGCTTATGGACGGACGACAATGGCGCAATGGCGTATGAGGGAAGTATCTGTTCTCTAGCAACCTCATGCGCGGTCGGTTGGGGCGAGGGGAGTGTTTATGGCTATGGTGGCTGCCTTCGGGGGTCCGCGGTGTTTCGGGGGTGTCTGGATATGACGCCCAGGCGTTCAGACTTCTTGTTTCGGGCGCGGACGAATGTTTCGACGATGGCGATAGAATCTGGAGGTTGGTCGTCACCTATAGGAGTATCCGGTGTGTGTTGTAGGATATGATAATTGTGAATAGTGTCGTGCATGCATCTGGCACGAGGCGCGGCACGATGGAGCAAGTGTGGCGCAGGTACGTAGGGTGGCTTAAGGCCAGGGTTGCAGCGGCGGGCCGTTTCCAATGTCCAAAGGCGTGAACAGCTGTCCAGATTACCCTACATTACACTCGCACGCACATCGACTGAATCGCATGCAATGCCGCCGGAACTCGCCCCTAGTATTTGATCCTCACTTTCATTCTGGCCGAGAGCTGTGCCCTTGATACTGTGCGGCACACCGAGCTCGCGCTCTCCCGCTTCCATAGAGGTACGTCCCGCGAGCCTCTGACGTACAAAGGGATGACGATCACTCTGGCCTATGTACATTCCGCGACACACTCCCCATCGCAACTTTTTTCCCGTGCCTTCTTTTCTAGCCTTGCCTGACCCATTTCTTTCTTTTGTCGAGCTCCCTGTGTCCCTTTCGCGTCTTCTACCAGGCGCATCTCCTCAATTGCATCTTCGGAACCCGACATCTGCGCTCCACTGTCAAGACTCCGCATCTGAGTTACCAAAGACCGACTGTAGTGCTGACAGCTTCGATAGCGCTTATAGATACCCCATTCATTACCTAGTAATCGCTTCATGGACGAAGACGCCCCCAACTTTTCTTATGCCTATGGTGGCGCGCCTTTGACCCCATCGTCCGCTTCGTGGAACCCTGCGCTGCGAAGCGAAAAGGAAGCCAGTGCACCAGCCAACGCGAAACCACCGGCGCAGCCCGAGCCAGAATCTTCGTCCGA